TTTTTTTTTTTTTTTTTTTTTTTTTTTTAACAACCAAAAAAATGCCCCCTTTAGTGCTAGTGGTGCTGGTAAGAGCAGGCACCGCGAGTGAAAATAACTCTTCTGGAATCAGGGAGGAGGGACGAGGCGGGGGGCGGCGCCGAAGCGCTCAAGCCCCGTGACATGAGCGGTATAGAATTAGGGTTTCTTCCATAGCCACGTGGCATGTGCGCCGCGCGCATAGCCGCGCGGAACTTACCTTCTTCCCCGAATATAACATACGGTCATTATAGCTGTATCTAGACTGAAAGACGACCCAAATGCAGCTATAATGACCGTACGTTGTATTCGGGGGAAGGGGAGGGGGGTCTTGCAGCTGTCGGGATCCACAGGAGAGCTCGAGCAAACGAGACATGAGCTTGTCCAAGGCTTTGAGGAGGGAGTGGGTGGGCCCTCTAAGGAGGGGAGGCAGATAGCATGGGGTCTTCTATGAGGAGCTGCGGAGCACAATGAAAGACAGATGGCAGCTTTCAAGGCGCGGAACGAATTCAAACGAGAGAGAGATGGCGCCTGTTTACACAACCTTTCGAACATTCCGAACCGAAGAACGCTGTCAGGCACAGCGTCCTTCCGATGGAGTTAGTCATGGCTGGCAAGCTGTGCAGTCCTGTTAGGGTGGTATACATCCCCCGCAAGATGCTGTTAAGGCAGCAGTCAAGGCATGGTGCAGAACGGGCAAAGATATGACACTTTAACTGAAGAACGCTGATGTCAGTGTACTTCCTATGGAAGCTTTTAGAAAAACGCTGATGCAGTCAAGGCATGGTGCAGAAGGGGCAAAGATATGACACTTTAACTGAAGAACACTGATGTCAGTGTACTTCCTATGTTAAGAGAAGCACAGTCCAGGGAGGGCAGCGCAGTAGGGTTTGTCCCACCACCTGGCCCTTGGAACAATCATATCGACGGAGCAGAGAATACGGAGCAGCGGACAGAGAATGGAACAACGAAAAATGATTCAGTGGAGCAGCAGCATGGCAAAGGGAATCCTAATCGACTGTGTGTGTGTGTGTGTGTGTGTGTGTGTGTGTGTGTGTGTGTGTGTGTGTGTGTGTGTGTG